CAAGGATCCCCAGAAAAACAAATAGCTCCTAGAACACCCGAAGCTCATCAGCACACAAGCCACGTCCCAAAAGGGATCAAGCAGACTCCTCGGAAAGAGTCACCTCCCATGACTCGTGACCATACAGGTCGGGCACCGACAACCATCCCCTAATAGCAGCCTCCACCGATGATGCTCTCCGTGCGGACCCTCCATCAGCCTCCGCACGTCCGCATACGGAGACATCAGGGCCCTACCACTCACACGAGCCACAACAGCAGAAACCTCAGAGGGAGGTCGAACAAAAGGCCACCGAAGCAAAGTCAGGCCCACACTTCCCTCAATACCCAGCATTGCCGAAAAAACCGAGGAGGCCTCGAAACGTATTCCCAAATCCGCTACGATCCTTCCGTTACTGGAGGAGGGGGGAGGGTTCAGATCCGAAAAACCATTCCACACCGTCCCATGATCTCCTCGAAAAACACATCTCCCCTAAAATAGTCAAACCTACTAAAACGCGGAAACGAAACGAACGAACCAAACAAAAGTAAACTAGAACCACAGCAGATTCCGACAACCGAGGTCTGACCCACGGAGGGAGAGGGAAAATAAAATCCAAATGACAGTATAAATGTTCTTAAAAACCAGTCCCTAGGCGCCATTTATGACAAAAAACACAAAGAAAGGTGAGGGGTGTAGAAAAAAAATACACATACCAACCCTCCAAAATAACTTACATCCGGTACTCTGACAAGATCGCACCCGCAACCTCCAGCAACTCGGCACGGTGAGCGCGCCAAAAGGCCCACACTGGATCAAACTCCGGGGGCCACACCCCTCCTATTTCCCCCAACAGCTTCACCACCACCTGTCCCCTACCTTCCAGGACGTCAGTATTCTAAAAAAAAACAAAAAAAAAGGGAAGAGGTAAGGAAAACTAAATGTGAACCAAATAATACACACAAATAACAACAAAAATATCTACACACCGTAACACCCATATCGCCACACCCCGCACCCTTTAGAAGTTGTGCGAGGAGGGAGGGCACCTCCACCGACATTCCCTCGGCCGCCCTCTCTAAAATTAGGGCCCAAAGGACCTCATCCGACTGCGCCCCAATCACGCCCTCACCCCACCACTGCAGGGCCTCAAGGCCTCCTCACTCGGAAACAATTCCATGCTAGAATAAAAAGAAAAGTAATTAGTGAGCAAAGAAAAAAAAATGGGAAAAAGGGGCCCCGATACCCCAAAACTTTTTAACTAGACACGTCCCTGCAAATTTCCGCTGGACCCGCTCCAACGGAAATGTTAGGCGGGGGCACTAGTCACGGCACTATCCGCTCCGACGGAAATGTTAGGCGCGGGCACTAGTCACGGCACTATCCGCTCCGACGGAAATGTTGGGCGCGGTTACTAGTCACGGCACTACCCACTTGCAACTGGGAGGAGCTGCGCGCGCACCCCACGCATGCGCACCAAATGCTCCCGAGCACATGGCCCAGCCACAAACAAAATAATTAATAGAAAAAAAAATGATGATCACCAAAATTACACTAACTCCCCCCCCACGTAAAAAAAATTATACAAAAAAAAACGGAACACATAAGAACCACTCCCACGCAGAAAATGATCACCAAAATAACACCAACTCCCTCCCCCCCACAGAACTGCCCCTTCATGCACACAGAATATTCCACAAAAAAATAAAGAAAACACAATACAGCTAATCACGACTAACGCTAACTTAACAAACAAAAACAAATTTTCCACCCCTAAAAACCTAAAAATAATCTGAAATAAAACAATAAAAATCTACTCACCTGGAGACACGCCTATCACCAGCAGGAAAACAAATTACAAACTCAGCAATTTTGAGTGACACACCCAGAACAGCAAAAAGTAAACCCTTAGAAATAACCGAAATAAGGGAGCAATTTCACCAAAGATAATAAAAGAAAAATCTAGCAATTAAATAACGATTTTTGTAAAAACTTTGGAAATACACACACGCGCGAAACGGCTCAAATTTCGAATCAAATCGATCAAAATAGAGCGATGATTCCCCGCGCACGCGCAGTACGAATCACCGACTCTGTAGAGAACAACCCGTAAGGTGCTGCGCTCAAGAAACTACCGGCCGTTTGCGGAACGACCCATTTAAATTCCGAAAATAATTCTAAATCATACTAACTTCCAGAAGGGTAACATTTAATTTTGTCATTTCCAAATTATTTCCAAACAATTAAAAACCCTGAAAACCTTAATAATAATTAAACAGCCGGTCAAAATAATGGAGCGCAAAGAACTAAAATTATTCCCCCGGATGAGACGGAAATTTTGCGCCCTGAGTCACCCCATTCAGACCAACCTGAAAAACAACCCCCACTACCCTTCACAAGATGAACCGTTCCCCTGAAAAATAAAATACAAAATCGAAATTATAATATAATCTAAATACGCCAAAAGATTCATCTCAGCACGACGAAACTTCAGACATATTGTTTAAAGAGAAACTCCAAAAATGGCAAAAATTACTAACAAATAACTTTAGTAAGAGCCCAACTTTTCCCCCATAAAACATTTTTACTAAATCCCAAAATAATGGGTCTACGCAAAAACGTCCGTAACACAAAATGAGCGGGCAAACAAAACAAAGAGTTTAAGCTCGCTTAACAAAATCGGACAACAATTACAAATGTTATTAACAAATTCCCCCAAAATTTTTTAACTTTTGCCGATAAATAAATAAATGCAACAATTCACCCTGACATTAGACTCCAAAATACCTTACCATAAGCGCCAGAAAACTAGCCAAGAATTTGCAAATTCGGTTAAGAAACCACGGAGCTAGCTAAATAAACAAAAGTAACTTAACAATTGGCATAATCTTTGAACAACGCACCCCTTCGAAAAATGTTGTTAACAAAAGTTGTCCAGCTTACCGAGACCCTCCCGGCAATCCCTAACAACCCCTGAAATCATCAACCCCAAAACAACCCCCAAGTCAGAAACAAGCATAAAAATTCACAAAAGAAATTAAGACCCATTCCCACACGACAAAATAAAATGAAATAAAATAAAATACAATCCAGGCCACTTCCTGCTACACTAAAAATTCCTTACTCAATTTCTTAATTGCGAAATATTCACCCTGTCGCAATCAACGCGCATCAGCACCTGTCGAAATTTTCCCTCACCAGAAAACCAAAGCACTCAGGCCCTCCTCACACTAAATCGATAATTACAAATTCAGTCACGAATAAATCGGAAAACTAGCGTGTTCTCCGATCATCGATAATTCAAATAAATCACTATCAAACCGAATAAAGTCAATCCTCCGTAATAGCCCCCAATAGAAATCAGTGAGTCTAATTTCGAGGGTGGTCGCGTGAGTGCCCACGATCGCTACCGAATAGTTAATCGAGTTGATTATTGGAAATATGAGTTGTCAAAAACCCCTCATCTAAATCTGCGAGAATATCACATTCTCTAGTATCAACAAAAAAACAAGATTAGAATTTTCGGACCTAAAATTCCGCGTACGAACCGGTTAAGGCATTCGTGACTCCAAACGCCTTACGGTATAAGTGTATGTCGGGGGGCGCTAGTGTGACGTGAATGTGTACAGTTGACTTTTTGTTATGTCTCTCGTACTTCAAAGATTTTTGCATAATCCAGAGCTCTGAGCAGACTAAAACGTGTTGAACTGGTGGGCGAAGAGGCTTGGAGCATTTTGAGTATTGGAGCTTGAGGAAGTTTGACTGTTCGTGAGAGAATTGATCATTTCAAATTATGTTGCTGATGCTAGGCTAGGCGTCGGTTTTTGCTCCATGATATGGGAAGTCGTCGTGGGGATAGCGCAGTAGGTAATACAGTGAAACCGATTACGGAGGACATCTTTCGGTACCACGAGGCAACCGCGTCAAAAGTCGGTAGCGTACAACAGCTGATCAGGCCAAGCACCCTGTCAACACAAACAGCTGGCACAAGTGGTAGTAAAAATCGTGCTGTCGAATCTCCCAAGTTGGGCAAACCAACAAAAGTCGAATTACTCACTAAATACCCTGAGAAAGCTCAGAGATCCATCCAAGATTTTGTGGCTCCAGCGCCGCCTAGCAAGAGGAAAGTAGATGTCGATTTAGAGAATGAAGAGAGTGACACCGAGCTCACCCGAAGATCCCAGAAAGTACTGAAAATGCTCCCTGAAAATAAGGTAGGCCTGTCGCATGAATCCATCATAGACAATCAGAGTATAATAATCACAGAGAAAATGAGTGGAATTACTGCACCAGAAACTCATGCAATCTTAGCTAGCATTGCAAGTCTATCCAGTCAAATTAAACAGGATAAAGAGGATCAATCGAAGCACTTGAGTAGACTAGAACTAGCAATTAATTCCAAGCTACAGGAACAGGATGTGAGACTAGAAGCAGTGGAAAGTCAGATCTGTGAGTTGAAGGAAACGAAAGAGAAGGAAAAGTTAGCGGAAAGAGTTGATGCTCTAGAAAGAAAGGAGTTTACTGGCAGCGTGGAACACAACGAGTATGTAGTAGACTGGCTGAGCAAAGTCACAGAGAGGTTGGAACGTCGAGAGAAGTCGGAAAAAAAGCTCAATTTGATTGTCAGAGGACTCGACACAAAATCTGCATCCCCACAAGTAGCTATTGAGTCACTACTCACCACTCACTTCAAAATAAAAAATGCTGGAAACGAGATCACCAATATAAACAGCCTAGGCAGTGAAGACAATCGCTTTTATCAGGTCACTCTGAGAAATTTGGAGACTAAGAAATTTATTCTCAAATCTAAAAGCAAGTATATTAAGAATCTCCCTATGTTCATCGAGCAGGACTGCACTCCCTTGGAGCGCGAAATTGCATAGAGAGCCAGACAACTCGCGAAGGCACAAGAGGCACAAGGTCACTCCACTGCAGTAGGTTACAAGAGAGTGATGATTGATAATATCTGGCATGTATGGGACCAGAAACTGGGCAAATTTGTCGAAAACCAGAAGTCTAACATGCCTGGTGACGAGAGGCAAAAGAGAAGGAACGTAAGTCACAGAAATTCATCTAAGGAGGTAAAGGGGAAGCAGGATTTACCTGCAACCCTAATGGTACATTAAAATGTTTTAACGCTTATCCACTTGTGCAATTCCCAGGCTCTGTTTATCTTTTGGAATGCATATGGCATCAAAAATGTCTGGGAGGCCAGAGAACTATTAAGTACAGCGGATGTGATTGGACTGAGTGAGCCCTGGTTGGAAGAAGACCCCTTGAGTCTACCCTCATGGATTGAGGACAACTTCCACTATCTCTGGAGTCACGCTACTAGGAAGGCTGAGACAGGACGAGGTAGTGGTGGCTTACTACTCCTGGTGAAGAAAGAATTTGAGGTGACAGTGTTAGATGTCTCAAAATGGTGGATTTTCATCCGAATTACTCTCAACAATGTGAGCATCACCGTAGGCAATGTCTACGTCCCCCCCTTCAAGAAAATAGAGAACTATATCAATGTGATGGACATCTTAAGGGCCACAATTGGAAGCTTTGTGGAACAGTTTGGTGATGAGCCCATAATCCTGGGGGACGACTTCAATGGAAGAATCGGACAACTCAATGACAACATACCAGAGGAGTTACTACAGGACACAGTATTGTTGAAGGCTCGAAGCTCCAGTGACAAAGAAAACAAGAAAGAAGGATGTACTTTAATGTCCATGATGAATGACAACTGTATGTTCATATTGAATGGTAGAACACCAGGTGACTATCCCGGCCAATTGACTCATTTTAGTAAATTGGGAACAAGTATAGTCGACTTCTGCTGGGGAAATGTTCCAGCTTTGGAGCTCATCAGAGAGTTGATAGTTTTTGATGAGATTTTCATCTTTGACCACTTTCCAATTTTATTATCAATGTTTATTCCTGAACTCAAACCGGACTTGGGAGAGGAGAATTCTCTAATAGTTGAACCCGTAGATAAATTAAAATGGAAAGCAACTGCGTCTGATGAATACTCCTTAAGGCTGGAACAACGTCTCAGAGGTCTCCACTCCTTTTTTGATGCTAATAACGAGAATAAAAACGAAATGCTCACGAGTTGTATTATTGTATGTGCAAGAGATATATGTATGGTTCAGAGAGTGTGTAATAATGATAGAAAAATTCTGGGCATTAGCGTGAACGTGGGGAGAAATGATAAATGGCTCGACAAAGAAACCAAAGCAAGTAAAAATAATGTAAATAGAGCCTGGAAATTGTACAAAAAGAACAAGATTAATGATGATAAGATTATGGATAAAAAATTATTAGATGATTATTATAGCGAAAGATTGCTTTTTAAAGAATTAGTGGATACTAAAAAGAGTTTATATTTTATTGATTTGAGACTGAGAATAGCGAATGTCCGGAACATTCAGGAGTTTTGGCTAGCGGTCAAGGAGGTTGGTAGAAGATCTTTTGGGGGCAATTTTCTGTCGAAAGAAACTTGGGAGGAGTTCTACTCGAATGTTTATCCACCGCGTGTGCAGTGTTGCATGAGTCCAGAAGATGCCAGACATCCCAACCTGGACGCATATTTATCTATGCGTGAATTAGAGTCAGCGCTTAAATCATTAAAGAACAATAAAGCTCCTGGTCCTGATTTGATTCCCAACGAATTCTGGAAAGCACTCCCGCCGGTGGGTAGAGAGTATCTTCTATCTTTATTCAATGGTATTCTAGAATTGGGGACGGTCCCAGAATCCTGGCCTTGCGCAGTGCTTACTATGCTTCACAAGAAAGGTCCTAAAGAGGATCCAGCAAACTATCGAGGTATTGCTTTAACTAATAACATTCTAAAGATCTTTACAAAAATATTGGCTTCAAGAATTGAGAAGTGGATGGAATCTAACGAGATTCTGCCAGAATCACAAGCGGGATTCAGAAGGAATAGGGGTTGTGAGGACCAGATTTTTACGCTTTCAACTACAATCCAAATGCAGCTGAGACTACCTGGTAGTACAGTTTACGTGATTTTTATTGATTTTAAGAGGGCGTTCGACTCTATTCCTCACAACCTTTTGTGGACTAAATTATTTGAACTGGACATAAGCTCAAATATTCTAAGAATCCTCATGAACATTTATCGGGTCATCGGGTAGATTTGGCATCACAGAGGATGTACTACAAGGGGAGATTCTGAGTCCTCTTTTGTTTATATTGTACGTATCAGACTTTGAAAAATACTTTAGAGAGAAGGGATGCAGGGGAATTAACATCAACGCTCAAATAGACCTCATGATGCCGACCTACGCAGATGACACAGCTCTACTTTGTCACAGTGCCCAAGACGTAGATAAAAAATTGAGAATTCTCAAAGAATATTGCTCATTAAATGGGCTAGTAGTCAACACATCGAAGACAAAAGTCCTACCTTTCAGAAAATCGGGCAGAATTCGTAAATCTGAAAAAGAGGTATTTAAGTACGATGGAAAGATGGTAGAAACCGTGAATCAATACGAATACCTAGGGGTCCTATTAGAAAGCAATATGTCGTGTACCCGTACGTTGAATCATGCCGTAATGAAGGCAAAAATAGCGATCGGAGCCTCTAAATCGATCCTAATTAAAGCAAGATCTGATGCCTGGTGCACCAAGCTCAAGCTATTTGATAGTGTCGTTTCCCCTACTTTGCTGTATGCAGTCTCTTCTTGGGGTTTGGGTCAGTACGATAAGATTGAGAAAATTCAGAATGACTATTTTAAACAGCTTTTATTGTTACCCTCCAATACCCCTGGTTACGTGCTCAGATTGGAACTAGGTCTGAGGCATTTGGCCATTAGAGCACAGGACCTGACACTTAATTGGATAATTAAAGTTCTTAAAATGGAAGAGACCCGTCTTCCGCGAAGTTGTTGGAATCGATTGAGGTTTCTATTGGTCAAGGGTACTAACAGAGTAGAATTCAACTGGTTATCGAAACTGAAATGTATATTAGAGGAATTGAACATGGACTTTATTTGTCTGATCGATGACCCAGTGGTTTGGATAGAAAACAAACAGAAAATTATAATGAGATATAGTGACAATTTAAAGGCACAAGATTTGATTAGATACGCAGAAGGTAAATCTCTGCAATTTAGAATCCCTAGGTACTTCTCTGATTCTACTTCCAGGTATTTGTTACTACATTGCCCTGTGGGTCATATCCGTATCATTGCACAAATACGACTAGCTAATATATTTGTGGGTAGATTTATATGCAAGGGAAAAATTTTTAAACTACACCCAAATGAGTACTGTAAAATTTGTAATTATGAATTAGAAACTATGGATCACATAATTGTAAGATGCCCTTTCTACTTCGACATAAGAAAAAAATTCTTCAATGACCTCTTAATTGATAGATATGAACTGGATATTTTGTACACGCTTTTAGACATTAACAACCCAAAACAACTAAAGAGACTAGCTCTCTATATAATCGAAGCGCTGGAATTCCGAGAACATATTCTGAACATGGACTAATTGCTATGCTCAATCAGTGGATCGCTCGTGATAAGAGAGGAAAACATAAATAAAAATGATCTGTACACATGTAATTATCTGAATTTTTTTATGAACTGATGTATGAAGCTATCCCCCCCGTGCAAAGTGAGTGTCGTTTAATAATGTAAACTCACACGGGCACGTATTCAAAATAAAAATAAAAATAAATAAAAATAAGTGTGTGTATTAACAAACAATTCGGCCAAATATTGTAAAAGACTTCAAAAACATTGCAAGCTGTAAATTCTTTGTAACACTGAGAAAGAGAGAGTTCAGTGAACACCCTCAACAACAACTTGAACGGTCTAAGAAGACAACTCATCAGCGAAATCGTAAGTAAAACTAAATGTAAAACCATTGTAAAATTCAAACCTTGTAAATCTCGATAACTCAGAAAATCAACCAAATCGAACTCTCAAGAAACTATTGAATTGTTGTAAACCCAGGACCTATTCAGAGAATTTATAATTAAAGGTAAAGATCATTCCAAAATTGCTTTAATCATTTCTGAAAACTCCTTCAGAAACCTTACAATGAAACTTTCGGCCCTACATTCGAAGAAGAAAATAAGGTAAGATTGCGAACAAAACAATTGCTCATAAAAATTTGCCGCTGGAAACCGCGACAAGAAACATTTGATCGCACATTATTTTTATTGTTTACCAAGGAACTTATCCAATCTAGGAGAAATGAAGGCACAATAGCTCAATTTTCTTAACTCAGGATTTCCCGCCTGAAAATCTTTCGGACATAACAGGAGTTGTCCCGTTATGAACTTATCTAAAGAATGACCTCGGACTCCTGATGGAATTGAGACACTCTTAACTTCAACTCTTGTAACAGAGTATTTGGCTGTTTTCTTCGATAAGGTGCTTTGATAAGATAATAATAATCCAGAGCTCACCTTCATCCTTCGGATGATCAACGACGATTCTATTATTTTTAAGGTGAACGCACTGCTCGTGCTATCCATCAAACAGAAATTATCTCTCGAACGAACTAATCGGATATGAATATTAACACCATTCAGCAATGCTCGATCTTGATTGAGTACATCACAATGTAAGTGTCTCGTGAGATCGACTATTTTACCATCACCTGAATAGGCCCTACGCGTCTGTAAACTCTCATTTTCATGACAGATGCTATCCATTGAGCCCGATGGATCATCTACCCACAACACACTACTCAAGTGTGACAGTTTGGTATCGGAGCCATAGTTCAGAAAAGTTTTCATGTAAGCGGGGTAAGCATATGCATTATTAGCAGGAGTCACTGCTTTTTGGTTGAAGGAAATATCAACTTGGTCAAATAATGAGTGTAATAAATTGTTGACGGGTCCAACAGTAGGCGACGGTGTGGGATTCTTCTCTATCACTGATGTAGGTATCGTAATACGTAACGATAATCGGGTGTGTGCTAAGTCAATCTACTCATCACCTTTTCCTGGTTTATCGAACTCGATGAGCGAGTTATCCACAAGTGATGCAATTGGCTTGTAGTGTACATCGTATGATGATTCGATAGCTGTCTGCGTTGGTGGCAATCAAAATAAGTCCAACTCATTTTTCACTCCTTCACATGAATGTGTATGCAAAAACGCCATATTTTTTAAGCAAAAATATCTGATACTGTTCGCGACTTTGATGCTTTCTTCCGTTCACTTATTTTGGTATGCTTCTTCGTATGCTTTCTCGATTTTTTGTCACTCGTGGTTTCTTCATAGACTGAATTATTTTCTTTTTCTTTCATTTTTAGTTTTCAACTCACACCGTTCAGAGTGAGGCGGTATGTGGACAGACGTCGAATGAGGATATGATAGCATGCTCCTACCGTCATAACCAGACGCTATCATCAGTATATCAACATTCTCCTCTGCCGTCCTTTTCAAATTGACGCCTGATTCCCTCGCGCTTCCTAGAGAAGTTCTCAGTGGTATATTACGTTCAAGAACATCACCAATGACATTCACACCTGAACGCAAAGCCTCTCTTCCAACTACGGATGCGCCTTATTTGAGTAGTGGGAGTATCCGTCTGAACAAGCCTCCTAGGAAACTTCCAATTCCATGACCTTTTTGATTGGCACTACCTATGTACACATGACTTATACCGCCATGTGCTCCTTTGCTGTACCTACCGCCTGACTATAGTATCTCGTCAAAAACGTAGTCACACATAATCCGCGTTTATTCGGTGCGTTTGAAATGAAGTGTTAGTGTCAACGTACCGTACTCGAATGGTATCGATAATCCGTATTCATTTCTAATATCCATTTCAATTGTTTGGAATTTCGTACGCAGCAATGGTATGTACAGCGGTGATGAAAATGTTTTAATTTTCAATGATCCATATTTATAATCATCGACGCCTAAAGGTACGACTCTCAGTAATGCAGCATCGATATCCCCAGTTATATAGCTTTCACATATATCGGTGTAGACATACATACTCTGTGGGAGAGTTCGTGTGAGAGATGCAGGCATTGATGCTTTGTATTCATACAATCTACCAGAAAGGAATAACTCTTCAACTTCATTTGAAAATCCGAAAGTCCTTTTCAATGAAAGAGCCAGGTGTAGAACGTGGGAAGAACATTTACATGAAGAAGAGTCACAAGTTCTGACTACAGATACATAAACCCCACAATTCATCACAACTTTTACGTGATATTTTATGAAAGACATATCATTGATGACAGTCAATAAATCTGCAATACTATCATATACACTATGGGGTAAATTTATTTCTTCGATATGTGTCATCAACGTTTCATCAGGATTGGCCATATTGATCGATTACTTATTTCTATTATTCTCTTCCTATCTTTCTCCGGCAAATCACTTTGATTTTCCAATGATACGTAATTTTTATCAGCATCCGAAGATATGTGCAAGAACGTCATTGGTACATGTATTTCTGTCAAAGCAACACTCCATTTATCTAGTAGGTTGATCGTCTGTGATAAATGGGTAATGAAACTTGTCGTTTTATTATTCGGGTAATACTTCATACTACTATGGCTAGGTAATACGACAGAAAAAGTGTCCCCCGTATTGGTGATTTTTCCGTCCAAGGTCTTCGTTTGTGATTCTATACCTTGCATAATTCCTCCTCGTAACATATACCGTGGATATCTTCTCCCTCCAGATCTTCCAAGATGTACACTACTGGCATACGGTAACGTAAGATGTGTTTGATTTTGAAAACTTCAGTGCTCCACCCCGATTCGTATCCTTTCTTGAATGCTGCTTTCGCTGTACTGATACGTACTAGATCACCACAGTTGTAATTAGGCGATTGAGAATTTATTTTGAAGACTGTATTGTATCGCTTGGAAACATTTTGTATTACCATGATTAACTTCACACGGTCGAAATTGTGTTCCCGAATATTTGCTATGATTATACGCATTTACCACTTTCTGAAGAACATCCACGCAACGTTTCGTTCGGGAGTACGTGAAATATCTCCACAATCTTTCCTTCAATGTACGATTGAATCGTTCAACTATGGCTGCTTTGATATCAGGGTTCCTGGTTACACGATCAATATCATATTTTCTCAATAGTTGTTGAAATTCGGAATTTACGAATTCTTTTCCACGATTCGTCTGAAGCATTCGTGGGATCCGTGCTTTTTTCCATTGTTTAGAAGAATCCATCTGAAGGCTTGTGCAATGACTTTACCACTCTTATTTCCGAGAGGTTCCACCCAAGCATATTTACTAAGGATGTCAATAACAACCAATACATATGAATATTCATCGTTTAATGTTGCTATGGATCGAAGGTCAATACAATCAGCCTCCTAAACAGCATCAATCTCGGAAACATTATAAGACCGTCTATTAAATATGTGACGTACCATTTTGTGCATATTATATGCATCCTGGCTCTCCAACCAATCTGTGACATCATGTGGATGTTTCCAACGCGTGTCCATGATCGAGACTACAGAAAAACCTTTTGGTGGTCAGACTTACGTACATCAGAATCTAAAAAGAACTAAGAAGAAAATTAATAATGTAGAGAGTATCATCGATCCAAAAACCCTTACCTATTCCATATTATCGAACCATGAAAAGATGGACAATCATCTTGTTCTTCAGTAAGATCTATGACTTCCTTATCGATGTACTCCCGGATTAAATCAGCTTTGCAAGACCCCCGTACGAAAACACGATCAGAACTACGTATTATACAACGTATATGATTACCCATCATATCCCAAAATGTGATATTCCCTACAATCCAATCAATTTTATGATGATTCGTGTTCACCCATTTATATTC